CACAATACTTTCTGTTTATGTGTTGACCAGTCAGCAAAGTATTTCAAACAACACAACACATGTTGCATATGAAAAGTTTAAATCTAACTGAAATTTGCAAAACTGGCTGAAAACTGAATATGTGACGTAAATGTCGGTCCCGGGGTACCTGTACCTCCTTCATGGAAATAAAGATATATCAACATGTATTTTATATTTTGTCTTCAAATCCTCGGAAATGATAGATTATTGAATGATGTATCACTGGTAGGAAAATCAAAGGGATTGGTCTATAAAAAGTATCTGTGTAAAAAAGCGTCCATTACTTATTGATCACCCCTCGTATTGGAAAGACAAAATGTTTGATGAAAAATGAAGGAAATTCACCGTCCTGGTTACGCAAACTATAGAAAAATCTGAAATAATCATAAAAACCTGTAAAAATAGATTGAAGGGGGTGATATTCATTTTTAATGTGCCTTTCACTACTAGGGTAACCTTAATTTTGGTACTGATTTGATTTTTCAATGAAAATCATTTCTATAGTGTATAGTCAGTTTAAATAATACAATTGGTATATTTCTTTACTGAACAGTGCAATCATTTATTTATTTATCATCAACAGTAATGCAAACTACATATTATACAGTTGGTAAAATATTAAAATAATTCTATTAAAATTAAAGCATTGCCAGAATGTGTTGACAGCTGGCAAAAAATTGAATCTGATTTTTCAAAATGAGTATTCTGCTTTAATTATTACATTTATATGCACACTAGTATCTTGTTGACCTATATTCAGCACTGTATTGATGTATAGGCCACTCATTAGGGTCATAATTCAATCATGAAGTGTAGGGGCATATGATTCCAAACCAGGAAGTATTTTTGTGTCTGTCAAAATCCATTTGCATCCTACGCATCCCCAAATCTTATCCAAATATGTTACTACATAATGAAATTAAATAGTATATTCTTTGGTTTTACAAAGTTGTATGATTTTTGATAAGTGTAAAAGTTGTTTTTGGAGCATTTCTCTATAGCCATTTTGTAGGGAAAAAATGATGAAAAAATGTACAATCTTTTAATTTTAAGCATGACCTGAATCGATTGCAAACTTCATATTTGCACATTTGATGAGATAAACCATTAGTGCCATATTGTGAAATTACAGTATTAAGTTTGCAGTCGATTCAGGTCATAGTGTATTTTTGGTATTTGTGTGATAATCAATAGAAACCAATGGCCTCTATTGGGATCTGCTGATATCCTCATGTTAAGTCAATGAAGCACAGCCCCATGTAAGGCAATACAACCTTACTAAACTAAATGGCCCCTATCTCAGTCTATGTGTGCCCGAGCATTTTAATATTTTCCAAAGAGTTATATGACATTCTATTCTTCATGTTACACCTAACAATTATTCATTTTGACCATAGGGGTATTTGCCAATAATCGCACCTCTTCCTTTTAACATACAATGTATAAATGTATAACACATATGTGTACCAAGTTTCATTGTAAAAGTCCTATTTCCTTTAAGTTATGGCATCAACTGCAAAACTTTTTGAACCACCTAAGTATATACCTTATTAGATGCAGTGAAGGAGTTAAATCATTGGGATATGAATAAATCATGCAAAACATATTTTGTACATATTTCTCATCATTTAGGGTTACCCAGTAGTTTACAAGCTGACCTTTGCAAAATATATTTCACTTACTATCCTCATTCGCTATCACGCTATCTAGTTTCTTTCCAAATTGGCCTGGATTGCCTGATTTATTGGTTTTAGCGAACCGTCCATTTCGTCGAACCATCATTTTGCTAGGGTTGTTTGTGATGAATATACAATATTCAGTTACATATAACTGTACAGCAACTTCATGCAAGGGACGGTTATTGTGTGAGAGCACATAAAGTACATGAAGTATTGACCCACGTGTCTCAGTGAATCTTATAAAAAGTGCATAAAGTTTTTTCTATGCAATGATTGGCTCACAGTTACTTATAGTGTAAGTTATTTTATTTCTATATAGTGTGGAATAGAGTGTATAAACTTTTACAGTTTCAAGCAGGTTTTAGTGTTTTCTGACCAATGATATATTCAGACTTATTCATTTCACGATTATGTAATACTGACCTACATATCTGTATAGCATATCTTTAAATACACAATGAGCAGAAAGACACTCTGATTGGTTGTTGTACCAAAGGTATTATATTATATATTATATTATATTATATATAAGTGCTCTACTAAACATGCAGTTAATGAAAATCGAATCGAATAAGAACCTATGGCCGCCATTTGTAGTTAATTTTCTTTAATGTTTTAACCATACGCACCCAAAAGGTCAGGCAGTGTGACAAAATTAAATTAATTAATATGCAAGTGAAACAAAGAGAAAGATACCTTAGACAGCAATGAAAAGGGACAGATAACGTTTCATAACAACGCTGTGTTCATTAATGTTCCTTTCCTATTGATCAATTCAATGCTATATATGTTCCTTTTAACTGCTTTTTGTTTTTTTGCTTGGGCATCGTCCTTTAAAAAATTGTAATAGTTTTGTTTCCAACCAAATGACCATTGTGCTTTTTATGTTGAAAAGAGTTGCATAAAATGTTATTTTTCGGAATCTCCCTGATCACTGCTACCCACCTAGTTACACAGACGTATCGTCAGTGTATCATGGCGGAACTACTTCCGGGACTAGGTTTCGGTAAGATTTTTTTATTTCCCGATTTACACCTACTTATAAGTCACGTTGTGGATAATAATTTGGCTCGAAGTTAAGGAAGATAGTCTAGTTTGAGAATGTGTCGATGGTTTTAGGTTTTATATGTTAACGAAGACACAATTCACGTATTTAGTCCCTCGCTTTTGTTACACTGACGAACGACCAATATCAGTGTAATATTGACAATATTAATGCCGATCGTCAGTGTAACAAAAGCGAGGGACTAAATATGTGAAATGCGTCTTCGTTAACATACCCAACCTAAAACCATCGACACATTCTCAATCTAGACTATCTCCCATAACTTCGAGCCAAATTAAAATCCACATCGTGACTTATAAGTAGATGTAAATCGAGAAATAAAAATATCTTACCAAATTCAAATCCCGGAAGTAGTTCAGCCATGATACACTGACGATACGTCTGTGTAACTAGGTGGATAGCAGTGCTGATACATATTGATAGTAAATATATAAAACATTATTTTACTGTATATTAAAAAATATATTTTTATAATATTATATATTTTTCATAGTTCGCTGGGATTAATACTGATCATCTTATACATAATACATACATGCATTTCACTGAATTTACACACCTCGGGTATACATATATTATTGAAAACCCTGCATTTTCCTTGAATCTTTGTCATTTTAAAAATTTCTGCCTGATATTTCACACATTTGTACATCATTGAATTATCTACCAGCCTACCATATTTCATGACCATCAGACTGATAGTCACAATTTTACAGCACTTTGAATAACATGCTTCAGGTTTGGCCATCATCACGCTGTATGCGCGAATGACCCGAATGCATTCCTTAGCAGGTATGGCCTAAATGGCACGGGTGATCTCACTTTTGAGGTTTGCAATTGTCCTGAGGTCATTCTCATATACTCTATCTCTGCCATATTCCCACAGGTAGGGGCATTTTAGACGACGAGTACAGGTTTCCCGACAGCGCAATAGTGGCCACTTGGGCACATTCTTTAAAGTGCTCTAACATTGTGACCATCAATCTGATGGTCATAAAATATAGTAAGCTAGTAGCAAATTGAATGATGTACAAAAATCTATTAAATATCAGGGAATTATTTATTAAAATGACAAAGATATGAGGAAAATGGTAGTTTCCATTTCTTTTGACCACTCTGTACATGTTATCATTAAATTAAGCATCAGTTGCTAACTCAGATTCGATGACATAGCATAGTAGTTTTGCCAAAAACAAGCCATTTTGGATTCTTTTTAATCACATTTTATAATATGTAAAAGCACATGTTGTATATGTCTAGGATATCCTATGATTTTAAGGGATATCATTTTTATCAACAGTTGATATCAATATCTGGATGAGTAGATATATCACTTTTTTAAAATATATTTAAAATTGAAAGAAGTTTGTGTATCTAGCTTCCAATAACCACACTCCCTCTCCTTTAGTTCTTACATTGCAATTATGTAAACATGTGACTTGAAAATAAATATTCACAATTTGAAGATAAACTAAAAATCATATTCACAATTATACATATTCGAATATTACTCACATGCTTATCCATATATCCATACAAAATGACTTAATCCTATATTGTATACAGGGTTGGCCAAAAAAACACCACTTTTTTCAAAATGCTATAACTTTTTTAATTTTTGATCCAAAATTATAATTTGCATACCAAATGAAACTTGAAGACCAATCTAACCATGCATTATGAATTGTACACTTATACTTGAATAAGATATGTCACAAGCGTCTCACTTAAACATGTGGTGCGCCATTAGAAAATTAGAACTTGCATAATGTACCTAAACTGATACAGCCTGATGACCATCGAGCTTATTGTCCTGATGAAAACACCAGGGAGGATAGGGTATGGGAAGGTCTCCAGGAGATGGTATATAGGTACCCAATCTCAAAAATTGCTCAACTGAAGCTGGCAATTAAGACAGGTTGAAAGAAACGTAGTCAACATTTCATTGATACCGCTATATCAGTATGGCGACTAAGACTAAGAAGGCTATCATCAAAGAGGGTGGCGGACCAATTGAACTCCTCTTTTAGATCAAATACAATCCAAGTTAAGGGACTTGTTACATTATTGTATTACTTAGGACCCCTGGCACTATATAACTGCAAAATTTGGTGTATGTTGGATGGAAAATGAAAACGTTATAGTGTCTTGAAAAAAAGTGGCCTTTTTTGGCCGACCCTGAACATCCTTTAAAATGTGTTAATGCTACATGATTGTTCTTTCTGGTGGAATTGTCACTTTTGGTTTAACTCTTTGATTCTTTGGCATGATCTTTGTAAATTATTAGTGTTGTTGTAATCGTTGTTGTCTTGTTTATTGTTGAGGTAATTGTCCTTGTCGATGTTGATGTCAATTACTCTATCCACTTTCAGGGAGCTGGACTGAGAGAACATAAAAATTATAATTAAAATTCAATTGTTTCATACTTATTTCGAACAAAGTTTGAACAAATCCACTTTTCAATTCATTAAATGATACAAATTGAGATAAAAATATAACAAATACATGACTCACACTCATTGTTTACATTATACTAGTTTCAGTTTGTTTTCATTCATCACTTTTAAACATGTTTTATCCAATAAATATATTAAAACATGTCATTCATGTCATAATAATGCAACATGAGATGGCGTGTTTTAGTTGCTGTTGTTCTATTGTTTCTTATTTACCCTAGTCTCAGTAGTTGACAATAAACAGCTGGCCATTCTTGTCCCCAACAAGCAATTCACCCGCCTCATTCACGTGTACAGCTTGTGGGTAGCTCACACCATCTGCAAATGTTAGGAGCAGACTATGAAATGTTGCGTTGGGTGTGAGGAGTTGAATCCTGTGGTTGTAAGTGTCTGCTACAATAATGAATCCATTGCTATCTGTGCAGACATCAGCGGGATGATACAGCTGTCCCTCTCCTGAGCCTCTCTCTCCATAATGGAGGATTTCATGGCCGTGTTTGTTGATCACTTTGATGGAATCCCCACTATTGTCACTTACTTTGATGTTATTGTTAATGTTAACTGCCACATAGTGAGGGTCTCTGAACATACCAGATGGGGAGATCCGTGTGGGTGTGGTGATCCCATTGTAGGAATCCACCAGATAGACTCCCCTGTTTATGTAATCAGTCACTACAAACTCACCTGCTAACAGCGAGGCTATACCAAATACCTCAGTTACAGATGCACCTCTGCAGGTGATGGTACGAATGGGTGACCCATCCTCACTATACACGTGGATCTTGCTGCTGAGGGTTGTAAATGCCAGTTGGCCATCGTTGGTTTTTGTTACACAATAGAACCCTTTGTTGAGATCTTTGATCAGCTGGAGTGTGCTGCCGTTGTAGATCTTTGTTGTAGACTTCCATCCGCCTGTTGCAACTATATTCCCTAGGCTGGTCACGGTTAGATCTAATATAGCACCAGATTGGAGCTTCCTCTTGACAACACTTGGCCTGGCTGAAATTACAGAAAAATAAAAAAATGAACTCTAGAAAAAGAATTTTCATTTTTTCAATTATGAATTATGATGTGTATCAGATTAAAATAAAAACATTATAATTCCAATCAATTTAAATCACATGAAGTTAAATAATTTTTATATTTAGAAGCTCTTTTATGAATGTGTTGCTTTTTGAAATATGCATACGGCTTTGAATTAATAATTAGGTCAACAATTAAAAGGACATGGGTGATATTGATATTTTGTTCACTTTTTGTTCTATTGAACATGTATTGATTTATTAGATAACATCCCTGTGTTCTATTTGGAAAGATCCAAAGACCTCGTATGGGTAAGAAGAGCCTATAAGGACTAGCAGGGAGCCTCCAACAGTCTCACCTAGCAGTGAAAAGCTTCTGCAGAAGGCGAGGGGCTGCACAAAGCCAGACAGACCTCCTAGGGGTAAGAAAATCCTCGAAGGAGCAGCCGGGAGCCCCCAAAAGACTCATCCAACAGTGAGGAGCTTCCCAAGACGGCTCGGCGCTGAGAGACCTCATCAAGAGCAGAGAAGAGCTTGGAATCTCTGGGAGCTCATCCATAGTCAGAGAGCTTCAGCCAGACACTAATAAGCCGCACAGGATAGAACAGTCCTGCCGAAAACCACAGGAAACAGCAACTACCAAGAATAATACTTAAACAGTCATAAAAGGACTTGTCTTGACAGATATCAATGCAAACTAGGACAATAATTCCTCTTAAATTATGAGTATATATACAATATTTCCCAGAGTCAGACAAAGTGTTGTCCTGGCAGATGTAGGAAAATGGGTTGGATTTGATTTTAATTTTGTTAAAATCTGCACCCTTTTCAACATGGATGTGTCACGCAAACCTTTGAATCTCCCTTTCATAAATATATAGTATTACAGTAATTTTCCCTATCTGTATAACATTCATCACTTGTTGCATATGTACTGGTTTATAAATAACAAAACCAGAATATTTAAATAACAGATTTATTTAGATCAGTAGATAAATACAATTAAAGCAATTAAATATAAAACTTAACCTTAATTTACTTTGGCTTGGGGCGGCACTTGATACATGATGCTAACTAAACATGTATCAATAGCATTCAAACTCACGTTCGTTCTCAAGCTAGGATCATGTGTCACATAACAAAGTATTACGTAATAGTTGGGTTATCTGACACCTTTACACATGCTGCAGATCAGACAGACGGATATGCCCAGTAGATAGCTCCAATTACAGAAAGGGTTAGGAGGTATCTGACTTCCGACCATGCTTGGTAGATCGCGAAGACCTGACACCCAAGGCGAATAGTACGGTAGATAGCCCCTTTCTTAAAAAAGGTGAGGTATCCGACACCCGACCATGCTTGGTAGATCGCAGAGATCGCAGAGATCTTACGCCCAATGCAAAAGTGCGGTAGAAAACTCCACGGGAGATCTCCCGTACAGACAGTACGGAAGATTGCTAATTTTGAGATTTAATAATTAGTTGGGGTTTAGAAACGAATAAATGAGTGTAAATGTAAATGCCATACCATCCCATACATTTCCATATCTCATTGGAGACTCCCGAGAAATGGTATACTAATCAAAGAGAAAAAAAGAATGATGGTGTAAGAGGCGGGGAGGTGGTGGTCCGCCTGTGTATGAATATTGCTTGCTAAGGCCCGATAAATCAAAAACTGAAGGATAAAACACACTGTCATGTAAATAACGAGTTACTGTGGCGGAACGCCGGGTCATCTTTTAAAGTATGGTACTCAGCGATGTATGAACAGAGTATGTGGTCTTCCCTAAAACTTTATTTATAAACAATGTTAACATAATTTTGTAAACAACTATTTTGACTGCAGTAAATTTAACGAGGCTACCAATCACTGTACATTTTCCTGTATCTGTATTACATTCATCATTTGTTGCATATATACTGGTTTGGACTGCGGTAAACTTAATCACATAAGAACTATAAAACTCACCTGTAACACCAACCACGTATGACTCAATTTCACATTCGTTCACGCCTTTCTGGATTCGGAAATATCCCTGTTCTCCCCATTGTTTTCCCCAGGAGTTGGCAACAATCTGAAATTTTACATTTTTCAATTATCATGCCGTATGTATGGATGTTCATGGTTAGAATATCAATAAATATATTTAGACAAATGCATTGTAGACAAGTGACCAATATTAGTACAGGGTGAGCCAAACAAAAAAGGTTACCTAAACAAATCTTCATAACTCAGTCATCCAGTATAGAATTTAAATCGCATTTTGCACAATTGAACCCTTTTCAATGTTCTGACTTTTATTCTATCAATTTCCATTTGTCTATTTCAAATGATCACGAGTTTTTGGCCATTTTACAAAACATTCTCCAAATGCAAAAACAAACAAAAGTCACTTAATATGAGCCCCAAGAATTTTATCGTTTGGGCTAATTAAAAAATAATGTGTATACTAATAACCCTATGAGCATCAGAAATTTGAAACAACGATTCAAACGAAATTGAGGCCTTTACACAAGATATCTGAAAGTGTGTAGACAGAAAATCTCCCTAAATGCATTCAAGTTTGCCTCTTAAGACAAGACCAGTATTTTGAGCATATTTTGTAAAATCATAAAATCTATTCCATTTGGAATAGACCAATGAAACTTGGTGGAATAAAAGAATATTGAACAAGTTTCAAATATTTCAAAGATTTGTGTCGGTAACCTTTTATGGCTTATCCTGTATTGTTCAAATTTTTCTTAAATTATTTTACATGCCATATATTACATATTATGTGTTTAATTTATTTTGTCGATATCCAGGATGTTTTAATCTTGCATCCAAAATTCCTTGTAACGTTTTAAACCTTGAAATGTTTTTTACTGTTTGGTGTTTAATAATGACCATACCTCATCTTTGCCAATCCTAGATCACGTTTACCAACAATCTTCAGGGAAAAAATATATAATTCTACACTATGGGTGGTGGAAAGGAATGGTGTAAAATATGAGGCTTCATGGCTTCCAAAAAGAATGGTGTAAAATAGGAGGCTTGATGGGTTCCAACTTCTAAGTGACTATACTACCAAATGTAATCATACATGTTATTCAAGACATTCATCTAGAATCTAATAGTCATAAGGCCAAGCTTTCATTTTGCGTCACATATCTCAGCTTCTGTTGGCATCTATATTTTTGTTAAGGTAATAGTTTGATGGTAATTACGTGCCACTTGCAAGCTAAATAAATAATATTAATTATTTCCTTACCCAATATTTCGTCTCCCCTTGAGAACTGCATTCAGAGGCCCATCTTGAAATATGAATATGATAAAATAAAAATCAGTAGAGAGGGTATGTAAATAATACAATGTATGTATTCAGGGAACACCTTGACTTTTGTGATAAAATTACCTACATGACATTTTATGTAGTGGTACATGACATTTAACATGGTGATTATGTATTATACGTCTGATGCATTTATACCCTACTGTGAAGTCTACAGATTGCTCCCAAGTAAATTTTTAACACACAAGTGTTAAGGTACATGTGGACAAGACATTTTTGAAAATATTGCTATACCTCAACATGTTATTTCCTGGTACATAATAAAGTATGAGGCATGTGTAACGAAAATGTAATGATACTTTCCTGAAAAAGCAAAGAAGTTCACGCATATCTTCATACTTTATTTTGTACCAGAAAATAACATTTTTAGGTGTAGCAATTTTTACGAAAATGTTTTCGTTCTACCATCACCTTAAACAAACTTACCCCACTATTCTTACAGAGTGATAGCCACTTAACCCGATATCATCTGCTGCAGCAGAATGGCTATATATACCGCTTTTGTACATAAAGAAGTCTTCGTGCACAGCAAAGGTGGCTTGGACAGGACCATTGGTGATGATCTCCTTCATTATCTCCCTTTCCTGAAATAAGAACATAGGCAGACTAAGACTAGATATACTGACAAAAATATTCCAAGTCCCAGGGATAGAGTAGCATAGAGTATTTTCGTTGAGTAAAAGCGAAAATACTCTAATATAACCATTATGTTTATCCAAAAATAGGTAAGCATAGTTTTGGAGAATACGCTCTTACTATTCTAAGAACTGTTGGCAATAAACTATAAAAATTAACAGCCATCTAGTTTTTTCTAGAATGTGGGGCTAAGCAAAAAATACTGTTATATCTTTACACTTGTAAAATGTATGGCAAACTACCTCACTGCAGTCCAGTAAACGTGTAAGTGGTAGACATAACAGAGGTCACTGGGTTCAAACATCACAGGTACCTGCTGATCATAATGCATTGAGGAACAAAATAATTTATAATCCCACCTTGCAGATCACGTGGAGTTCAAGTGACATACCAAACTTGCAACCGAATCTAGGGGAGCTTCCCATCAGACATTCGCCGATTAAATTACATAATCAACCACTAGTCAAAAATAGTAACTCAATGGAGTAGCAAATCCCACCGAACAAAACATATTTTGATAATTAGTGTTCATCTTGAAAGTTTCTTCTTGAACAGAGCATATAAGCATAAGCATACATATCAAACCAAATATTGGACCAAATCCATCCATTGGTACTTGAGTCAATATCAAAGATTACGTTTTTTGCGAAAATGGCAGCCATTTTGAAATTTAGCCTCCATCTTGAGATTCCTTCCCTAACAGAGCTACTGTGTTCCTAAGCAGCATTATATAAAATCTGAACCAAATGCAGTCTCCATCTTAAAAAATTCTTTAACGGACCAAATCTGTTCACTGATATTTGAGTTATCATAGATTATATTTTTACGTAAATTGGCCGCGATTTTGTAATTAAGCAGCCATCTTGAAAATCTCTTCTTGGGCGAAGCTCCTTTGTCTTTAGGCAACAGCTTATGAAATTTAAATAAAATCCGTAAACTTGTATTTGAGAAATCAAATATATTTTTTACGAAAAATGGCCGCAATTTTGAAATAAAGCAGCCATCTTGAAAATCAAAAACTTCTTTGCTCTTAGGCATTAGCATATAAAATTTGAATCAAATCTGTCAACTTGTATTTGAGTTATCAAAGATTACATTTTTACGAAAATGACAGCCATTTTGAATTGAGAGGCTATATTGAAAATTTCTTCTCGAGCGAAGGTCCCAATCCCATAAAGCATAAGCATTTTGAATTTGAATCAAATCCGTCAACTGGTATTTGAGTTATCGCCGGGACACACGGACGGACAGATGGACGGACGGCTTTTCTATATCCCCTCGAACTTCGTTCGGTGGGATAAATATTTTAACCATTACATTGAAGAAATGCAATCCCGAATGCAACTTACGTCGCTAGGGATCGTGTAGGGTTTCTCCATTTGATAGATTATATTCCTCGGTATTTGTTCTTTCTTGGGGCATACACCATTCTTTGATCTTGATGATGATCTTTCTATTTGACAGTTTTCCATGGAGCTGCCAAGACTACTTGCGTAGGGGTAGCATTTCTCATCAACAACTCTAAAATAATACAAACACAGGAAACTATTCTAGAATTACTTTGTTGTTGTCTTTACAGCATTTTCCTTTAAGAATAATAAAATATTACAAATAAATCTGAACACTGAAAACAGATAACAGATGCATCTCTCTTTCAGTTTGTGATAAATTTAACCTAAAGATGACCCAAGAATGAAGTTTAAAACCAGAATGAACACAATAATGTATGTCTACATGTACATTTGGGTTCATACTTGATATCACCTAATTTGTTTTACTAAAGAATATGGGCAGAGTGTTGGTAGTTACCTAATGTGAACCTGAAATCTAAGCAATATTCCAAGTAAACCTACAGTTCACCTAATCATTTTAGGGAAAAATGTATGAATCTAAGTGATTTAAGTTCACGCTGTATTAAGTTGAGTTGTGAAACCTATGTTCTCCCGCCCTATACCGATTGGATTCCACTTTAGGACTTGTGTATGGACTACAAACTCACTATTTGGGATTTGCTTCACCTTGTTGTTGTTGTGAATCTTATGTCTAAGATGTTTTATTTCTCTATCTTAACGATTTTGGCCATTTTCCTTTGCTACGTGTGCATACATTTTTTAACTGTAAATGAATTGCCTTTATCATATTTGAAAGTTCTAGTGCGAATTCTAGTACCTACCCTTGTACTCTCATGTACTCCCATGCTCTATCCAAGTGCCCCCCTGCACATACAGTTTTCTTGTCCCCAATGCAAGAGATAAGTTGTTGTGGGGAGAAATCTACCTTGACTGCACCAGACGATTCCATTGCTAGCCGATCTGAGGTAACAGCTGAAAAGGAAATCATCAATAATATTGTGCGGGACTGGGAAAGTTTTGCACTGAAGTAATATGCCAACCCCATTTTATCATCTACATTTTATGTAAACAGATCCAAGTATTTATTGAGATGATATATCAACAGACTTGGTGAAATCCTAACTTTTGGCGTTGATGGGACACCCTTCTAAAAAATGAGATAAATAAAAATTGAAAAAATAACCTGAAGTATTTTGTTTGACTTACCAGTTGTACTAAATGCCCAGGATGACGCACAATTCCCCTGGTCACGGATTGCAGACACGTATCCTTTTGATTCCTTTCGTAAGTCGTATTCCCTTGGGAAAGTCTCTTCTTCCCCCACTTGGCTTTGCCTCGTGGGTATTACATCACTGCCAGGCAAAAACGTCCCCAACTTGTGGTTGATTCCAAATGTCAATGTTTTCTCCTGCAGAAAGGAATAACTACCAGCTTTCCACCTACAAGTTACATCTAGGAAATAATACCAACAATCTACAGTGGGTGTTCAACATTATTGTCTACGAAATTATACAAAATGGCTGCAGAGAGTTGAATTGGATAGTGGAATCAATTTAATTGAGGAAGTAAAAATATAGAACAATTATCATAGATTTATCTTGACACTAGCATTTGTATTTAAATAAATATGTTTGTATTAATTGAAACTAGAGAATATGGCACCAACCCTTTATTGCCCCCATTTACATGGTCTATGATTGAGTCCCTGATAAGACAATCCAAACCTTCGCATTCCCATATGTAGTGGTCGTCATTTTCCATGTCTTCTATACAAATACTGCAACATAAAGATATGCACTATATATAATATGGCACTTGTCCTTTATTGCCCTTATTCACATGGTCTATGATCGAGTCCCTGATGAGACAATCCAGACTTTCGCATTCCCATATGTAGTGGTCGTCATTTTCCATGTCTTCTATACAAATGCTGCAACATAAAGATATACAGTATATATATAATATGGCACTTGCCCTTTATTGCCTCAATTTACAGGGTCTATGATCGAGTTCCTGATGAGACAATCCAGACCTTCGCATTCCCACACATAGTGGTCGTCATTCTCCATGTCTTCTATACATATGTAACGACCCTTGGACACGCTCGTCGGGGAGCTGTAGTGTACCGAGCCAGATACTAGACTCGAGAATGTGCTCAATTCAATGCCCCGTACAGGAATCGAACCCAGGACCTCCGACTCTCGAGTCAGACGCTCTACCCCTGAGGCCTGAGCCATAAGGGCTAGCCACTACAGCTATGACTGTAGTAGCGACTTGCTATCGAAGGTCATTACACATATGCTGCAATATAACGGTATGGATATTATTTAACATTCAATTCAGTCATTATTTTTAAGATTTACTGTACGAATTTTACGAACTGTACAGATTTAATAAACTGTATGAATGTATCAATATGTCTCCCTATGCACCAATGGTTTATTCATATTTACATGAATCTATTTGGCAGAGCAATGTCATTGATTCTGTATCGTATTTATTATTCAATGTTGGAAGCATTTAAGGAAATACCTATTGTGACTTTTTTTGTACGGACTGACGGACGGATGGACGGACGGAGGCTTTCCCTATATCCCTCCGAACTTCGGTATGTGTCTGCAAATGGGTGGGGGTACTTTCCTATTTGGGGGGGGGCGTACTTTCTTATTAAAAGTCCTTAATGGATGAATAGATCGAGAAGTTAATGATTACATACGCTTACAATAAGAACAACATAGTTCCAGTTAAGGTAGTTTAATATTCGAATCAACCAAAACCTCATTTAAAATGTGATTTCAAAGCTTTAGCAAAAGGTATATACATATATTTAATCGTTTTATCAACCTCTGTTATATTTTCATAGGATGATTATTCTGTAAAGGCACGTCTGTCGGGGAGCTATAGGGTACCGAGCCAGACGCTCTACCCCTGAGCCATAAGGGCAAGCTACTACAGGTGAGACTGTAGTGGCGACTTGCTATCGTATGTCACCATTCCAGTCCGGGAAATCGAACCCAGGACCTCCCGCTCTCGGGTCAAGCGCTCTGCCCCTGAGCCATAACAATTCAATCAAAAGTTATAATATGTTTTAGCTTTTTTTAATCATGTTTGTGTGCGAAAAATTATTTAACTGTGTATGCTGCAAAGCTAAAGGATTTGTGATCGTCGGTGCTACTTAATAATTTTGTCAATTTCAAGGATATTAAATATCCCAAAGCTATCATTCATTGAATCAACAGTATCTCGAAAACAAACTACGTATACGACTTGAGAATTACTTACCATTCCTGGCAGTATACCCGACTGATGCTCCCAGGACGATGAACTTTGCCATCGGCCTTACAGTCATCTGTAAAAAGGAGAAAAACTGTTACTATACCACGGGTACAAAAGAAAAAGACGCGTAACAGTGTGATCAAACTGCCTGGAATATAATATGTGCATAAATACTTTGCTTACCCGAAAATGTTGAAACACGTTTTCTGAAATGTGAAAATACACACAAACACCAATTTACGAATTATAAAAAACTTGTACATTTCTAGAAAGGAGCACGTAGGTTATCGCAAACAATTTCAGAATGTTATATCTTGGATTATGACTATTTTGACAATGAAGACAGGTTTATCTTTTAGATCAATTCATTTCCTCAAAGAAAATTATATACAGTAATAATAAAGTCAAACAAACTTGGAGATATTTAACAAGCAATCAACCCATCAACACACTTTTCCAAAGATGTTGACCCCATTTTCACCAAAAATGCAATCATTTTTGAAAAAGTATGTTGATTGGTCCATTGCCCCTTCAATTTGACTTAGGTCTGATTAACTAAATTATCATTATATATACTTTTCTTGAAGATAATGAATGGATCTAAACGATACACCCATGGTCATGATCAGAAAATATTAATAATTCAAGTTAGAATCGTTTGAAATTGTTTGCGGCGTGGCAGTTGCATTGCGCCATGTCTTATTATGCTGATGAACAAATTGACGTATTACAATTGTGCATAATAGTCGACTAGTATAATAGTTAAGCTGCAATTCCGTTAATTTAAATATGTAATTATGATTGTACCATTTCGCATCAATAATTTAAGTTATTAAATTAATTTACACGGATGATTAAAAGGCTTCGTTCTCAGAATTAGATCATCAATTGCCGAGACATTTAATAATACTTAAAACATATCAAAACTCGGAAAATATGCAAATATATACTTTCGCCCAATGCCTTATTGTGTTATGAGAGGGAACTAAACGTCTAGATTACTAGATGATCTAAAATGTAATAACTAAACTGGCAAAAAGTAATACAATTAAGCAAATTTGGCAAAATTTAAGCAAATTGGGCAAGAAAATTAGGCAGATTAAGCGAATTTCACCAAATTCACCGTGTGGCTCCACAAAAAATTTGCCGAATATTCGAACCCCCTCCTGTCAAATCCTGGCTACGCCACTGAAATTTGCATAACATATATCACAAAAAAGGTTGAAACAATTAACAAATGTCAAACTCTGGAACGCATTACCTAAAAGCTTCGAGTTATTGCCAAAACAAGCAAATTATTTTAGCTTTATATACATTAATTATTGTATTCTCATATAATGGGAGTCAAATTGAATTATTCCTGTCATTAATACTTCAAAGATGCCATTACGCAGAATTGCAAATAATAATTATATATTATAACGAAGCAATTGACATATGGTTCATATACACAATTACTTAAAAGCCATCAAAAATAAAATATTTATATAGCTGGTATTTTCATAGCCTTTTAGAAATTGAGCACTGATCATTTACAGGTTCAGATTAGCATAACTTGGAAATGTTATTATATACAATTACCAAAAGCAATGCTTTTTCGATACTTTAAGTTACATATTACTAAAGCTGGTATTTTCATAGCCTTTTAGAAATTGAGTACTGATGATTGAGAGGTTCAGATTAGCATTGGAAATGTTAAATGCATAAAACATATCTTCCTTATATTGTGTCTTTTACCCTGAATGACCTAAGAGTAGCTGACCTTGATGTTTGTGGGAATCATATCATATAAGAGGGGTCGAGAACTTTAAGGGACTCAAAACACGTTTCAAAGGTAAATGTCACCTCTTTATCAAGTATTGCGATATTGAACACTGATTTGGTATGGTTTATGAGATGTTTGTGCAAACAATATTTCTTTAATTTGATCTTTATTTGATCTTTAAGTTTGCTTATCTAAATCTTTACCCTTTGCATTCGTTCGACTTCACTTCTTAAAAGAGAGATTCGTATTCACTTTTTCAGTTTACAATAAATTTCACCGAGCTAATCAGATTTCGTCAGTTCGTCGTCGAAATACGGACGACTTTCCTCTGACAACCCTGCATAGTTTATGAGAATTATTTAGCACATGTTCCTTTCATTTCGCTGATTGGTTGAGAAAGGGTCAGCGTGGTAGATTTGAAATGATTTATTACCTGGACTCTCACAGGCACCAATCTTCGGGGAGGGACTACTAAACTGTAATATAGTCTATATTGGCAGACGGTAATTTATAACTAGACGCGGGATACTAAATTTTCAATAACGTTTATATCTGATCAGATACCTACAGTTCTTTTTCAAATAATAAACAGTTACTTTTAACAGTTTACTCAATCTCTCCTTTCTAAGTCCTTTAATTTTAAAATTGTAAATACTAGAAAGCTAATCTTAATATGAATCGGGTATAGATTATTGAAGGATTTTAGCCCTGAAATCAATGCATTGTTTGCTGAATGACCGCATGACCGCGCAACGGGAATGCAAAGTTTAGGAAACATCATCTAAAAGGAACAAAATCACTAAAAGAACACATTTTCAATTGATTTTTTGCTAGGGTCAAGTTGGAAAGTCATCAAATACAATGTGAAAAGTCCATCTATCACCATGACAACTTTTTAACTACTGATATTGAGCGCGTTTATGATTATTTCATGCTCTGTTGTCATGTAAAATACTGTTTTCGAATTAGCTGGAATCAGATACACCTAATCTAGCTATGCGCGAATGCTTATAATTGATGATGCAAGTGATTGACAAGTAAAATTATAATTTTCATAAATTCACGACTTCAAATAAAGACCAAAAACTTTAGAAACATTCTTTTTCTTAAAAATCAAGAAAATGCACTTGAAATAGGAACTTCCCCCAGATATGCCGGATAGAGCAGTGCATAACTTCATCCAGAACCCGTGGAGTTTGAATTGAAGACATCATCCAGAAATACGGCATGACTGATGATGCCATGTAACTTCTGCTAGATTTAAGACTGTGTTACCTTTAAGGTACCCACAAAAATTTTAGCCTTTCCTCGAAAACATATAAGAATGTTAGACCATTACAGTGGAAAATAACTGAGATATTCCTAATGCAAGGGTTCACTGTTTGGGCCACGCTGTGAATAATCAGCATATAGGAAATTGTTATAAAATAAAAAGAAATTAAAACCGAAAGGAGTTTTGTACTAGATTGAAATGTAAAATTCGAAAAGAATTCAAAAAGGAAAATGTATATTCATTTGCAATAAAAAATTTAAATATTCTATGTTCAAAATGTTAAACAAGAGATGGGCAAGCCATTTATCCTCATAAATGATAGAGATAAGAAGAGTGAAATAAATACGAATATATTTACTTACTTGTGCTGACTTGATCTTGATCAATCGCTGCAGAATTCAGCATTAAACACAAGGAAAGTCCAAAGATGAGAAAATTCGCCATTTC